CGGCCTGCACAGCAGCCGCAGTCGCAGTGCCGGGCGGTGCACGCCCCGCAGCCTTCTGGTCCGGCCCGAGGGGACGGTAGTGGTCTTGGGAGGGCCGGGGTACTGCCATAATCAGCGGCAGTGCCCCAGGGAGGAAAATAAAATGTCTGCCTAGGAAAGGCATTGTTTCCCCTCATCGTCTTTGAGGCCACGACCCTGAAGAGACTCTGGCTTTGGAGTGAAACTAAAGTAGTGATTTAGATCAGTGGTCTCAACTTTAAAGTACACACGATCATCTGGGGTTCCGGTTAAAATGCACATTCTGATTCATCAGGTCAGGGGCGGGGCCTAAGATTCTATGTTCCTAGCCAGTTCCCAAGTGCTACAATACTTAGTAGCAAGGGTTTAGATGCGCGCGCGCGCGCACGCACTCTGCGTTCATGGACCATTCTCGAGTTATTTGAGAAGTGTGGCAAAAATCGTGAACATCTGACCACATCGTTCGAGCAACCATTTGGAATTGAATATTGGAGGATGGGGGTAACTATGTGTGGAGTAAAATCATATAAATTCTCAAAAATGTTTAATAAAAATTCCAATTACGAATAGTAAAACCACGTCATGAATACTGTTTTAAATAGTTTAGTTTGTGAGTTTTAGGTTTAATAACAAAAGGGAATGATACTTGTTTCTTTGTTGCATTTGAACTTGCAAAGTGAGGAGGTTACACGGTAGAGTCCTTAGAGCAAGGGCTGGGCTCTCCCACTTCCTAGTGGTTGTGACCTTGGGCAAATTAGTCTCTAGTGCCTCAGTTTCTTCATCTTTAAAATAGGGGTAATAATAGCAAGAGTTTCTTAGTATGGTAGAGAAGATTATATTAGTACATCCACACAAAGCCTTGCTACTCAACCTGAAGTTCAAGGCCCAGCAGTGCCTGTGTCATCTGGAAGCTCTCAGAAATGGAGACACTCAGTCCTCATTCCTGGACTATGGAATCAGAATCTGCATCCCGTGAAGGCAGGACTCCCAAGTGCTTCCTTTGCACACACTTGGCATAGTGCTTAGCCTGTCCTAAGCGACACAGACCACTGCTTCTTTAATCAGTGATTTTGTTGCTTAGAAAAAAGCAAAGCCACGTGATTTCTTCATGTTGCATGTGTGACAAAAGTCCAAAATAAAAAGCATTTTTCAAACCTCTGGAGTCTCTGGTCAAGTGTGAGGTGATCAGGATGGCACATTATTTTCAGTAACAGCCCCTGGCTCCCTAAGACAGCTCTATTCCTTGAGCAAAAAAAAACCCTAACTCTCATTCAGAGTATCTGCCTAGGGAATGCAGAGACCTCAGAGTTTTCAGAGCCTGCACTTTCTGCTACTCTGTTTCCAACATGGTCTGCTGTTCCACCCTTGATTCTTCTAGGATTTTCTCTGAACATCTGCTGGAGGGGTGTGTCACTCTCCTTTTCCAAGTCTTGGAAAACAAGCAGGTTTAAATAATGCTGTGTAGTTTTCAGTATATAGGTTCTTCATATCCTTTGTTAAATTTATTCCTAGGTATTTTATTCATTCTGTTGCAGTTGCAAAAGTAATATTTTTCTTTTTTTTTTCTTTTTTTAAAAATATATCTTTATTGATTTTGGAGATTGGAAGGGAGAGGGAAAGAGAGAGAGAGTTGAAACATCAATGATAAGAGAGTCATTGATCGGCTGCCTCCTGCACACCCCCTGCTGGGGATCAAGCCTGAAACCCGGGCATGTGCCCTGACCAGGAATCAAACCTTCATCTCCTGGATCCTCGGTTGATGCTCAACCGCTGAGCCACACCCGGCTGGGCAGGAATCTTTTTCTCCTTTCTTTTTCTGAGTAGAAAAAGAATAAAAGTGGTGAGAGTGGACACCCTTGTCTTTTTCCTGATCTTAGAGGAAAAGCTTTCAGTTTTTCACCATTGAGTATGATATTAGCTGAGGGTTTGTCATGTATGGCCATCATTATGTTGAGATACTTTCTTTCCATACCAATTTATTAGTGTTTTAATCATAAATGGATGTTGTATCTTACCAAATGCTTTTTCTGCATCTATTGATAAGGTCATGTGATTTTTATCCTTTGTCTTGTTAGTGATTGATTTGCATATGTTGAGCCATCCTTGTGCCCCCAGAATGAACCCCATTTGATTGGGATGTATTATTTTTTTAATGTACTCTGTTGTATTAAATTTGCTAATATTTCATTTAAGAATTTTGCATCTGTATTCATTAGAGATCTTGGTCTGTAGTTTTCTATTTTTGTGTGTTATCCTTGTCAAGTTTTGATATCAGGGTTATGTTGGCTTCATAAAATGTGTTAGGATGTATTGCCTCTTCAATTTTTTGGAAGAGTTTGAGAAAGATAGGTATCAAATCTTTGAGTGTTTGGTAGAATTCACTGTTGTGAAGCCTTCTGGTCCTGGACGTTAATTTTTTGGGAGGTTTTTGGTAGTTGTTTCTATTTCCTCACTGTTGATCGATCTATTTAAATTTTCCAATTCTTCATGATTCAGTCTAGGAAACATATATTTTTAGAAGCTTATTCGTTTCTTCTAGGTTATTGAATTTGGTTGCATAAAATCTTTCATAGTATCCTAGTATGATCCTATGCTGTCTGTGGTAACTTCCCTTTTATTTCTGATGTTGTGTATATGAGTCTTTTCTCTTTTTTCCTTAGTGAGTCTAGCCAGGAAATTTGTCAATTTTATTAATCTTTTCAAAGAACCAACTTTTTGTTGTATTAATTTTTTGTATGTGTATATTCTTTTTGTTCATTTCTGCTCTAATTCTTGCTATTGCCTTTCTTCTGCTGTCTTTAGGCTACTTTTGTTCTTTTCCCAGTTCTTTTAAGATGTAATGTTAGGTTGTTTACTTGGAATTTCTCGTTTCTTGAAATAGGCCTGTGAAGATGCTTTCACTGCATCCCAAAAGTTTTGATATGTCCTATTGTCATTCTCATTTGTTTCTCTATATCTTTTTATTTCACCTTTTTTAAAAGTTTATTTATTTATTTATTTATTTATTTATTTATTTATTTTAAATATATCTTTACTAATTTCAGAGAGAGGAAGGGAGAGAGAGATAGAAACATCAAAGATGAGTCATTGATCTGCTGCCTCCTGCACACCCCCTACTGGGGATCGAGCCCACAACCCGGGCTTGTGCCCTGACCAGGAATCGAACCACGATCTCCTCGCTCCTAGGTCGATGCTCAACCGCTGAGCCACACCTGGCCGGGCTTGACTTCACCTTTTATTTCTTCTGTGACCCAGTCATTTTTCACTAGTATGTTTAATCTCAACACATTTGTAGGTTTCTTTACTTCCTTTTTGCAGTTGATTTCTAATTTCAAAGAATTGTGGTCAGAGAATATGCTTGGTATGATTTCAATCTTATGTTTGTTGAGGCTAGTTTTTGTGACCCAACATATAGTGTATCCTTGAGAATGTCTCATGTGCACTGGAGAAGAACATAATCTGTTGTTCCTAGATGAAAGGCTTTGTAAATGTCAATTATGTCCATTTGGTCTAATGTGACATTTAAAGCCAATATTTCTTCATTTATTTTCTGTTTGGATGATCTATCTAGAGCTGTCAGTGGCGTATGTAGGTCCCCTATTATGATTGTGTTTTTGTCAGTTTCTCCCTTTAGTTCTGTGAGTAGCTGCTTTATATATTTTGGTGCTCCCTGATTGGGTGCATATGTATGGAGAAACATCATGTCTTCTTACCGTAGTATCCCCTTTATCATTATAAAATGTCCTTCTTTGTCTCTTGTTACCTTTGTTATCTTGAAATCTATTTTGTCAGATATAAATATGGCTGCACCTGCTTTTCTATGGATGCTATCTGCTTGGAGAATCATTCGCCACTATCTTTTGTCTTTGTAGCTTAGATGTGTCTCATGAAGGCAGCATATGGTTAGATTTTTGGTTTTGTTTTTTTTTATCCAGTCTGCTACTCTCTGCCTTTTTATTGGTGGCTTCAGTCCATTTACATTTAGGGTAATTATTGATGTGTGAGGATTTCCTATAACCTTTTTATCTTTTGTTTTCTGATAGCTCAATGCCTCCATTGGTTCTTTTCCTTTGTGCTTCCGTCTGTTGTTTTTGTTTGGTGGTATTACATACTTTTTTTCCTCTGTTTTCTCTTTTTTTAACTTATGTGTCTCGGTGTTGGGTATTTCGTGTGTGGTTACCATTAAGTTTATGAAAAAAATGTTTCAAATACACACTACTACTTTTTCTTTTCAATGCATTTTATCTCCATGTTCCTTTGCAAATTTAGACCTTCATCCCCTCCCCTTTTATGTTTTTGTTATCACAAACTATCTCTGTTTATTCTGTATGGTTTTTTTGGTGATCTTACTCGTAGTTCTGTGACTTTTTGCTTTTTGTTTTAGATAGAATAACCTCGTTGAGTGTTTCCTGCAATGGAGGTCTTTAGTGATAAATTCCCTCAGCTTTTGCATGTCTAGAAAACTCTTTATTTTTCCTTCATATCTAAAGGATAATTTTGCTGGATATATTATTCTTCACTGATAATTTCTGTATTTCAGTAGTTTGAATATTTGGTTCCACTCTCTTCTAGCCTGTAGAGTTTCTGCTGAGAAGTCCAGTGATATCCTAATAGGCTTTTCTTTATAGGTTACTTTCTTCTTTTCCCTGGCTACCTTGAGAATTCTCTTTGTCATTAAGTTTTTTTGTGTGTGTTGTGTGTTTTTTCTGAAAACAGAGAGCATCTTTTATTTTTATTTTTTTATTTTATTTTATTTTTTAAATTTTATTTTTGTTTAAAATATTACAGATGTCCCTTTTTCTCCCCAATGACCTGTTCCACCCCGTTCCTTCCCCCTCCCCAGTCCCTCTCCCCACCATTGTCCATGTCCTTGGGTTGTGCATATCTGCATATAAATTCTTTGGTTACTCTCTCCCCCTCCACCCACTCGCCCTCCTCCATCCCTCTGACATTCCTCAGTCTCACCTATGCTTCCATGTCATTGAATCTATTCTGTTCATCAGTTTATTAAGTTCTTTTTGTCAAGTTTTCACGGTTTTAACACAATGTGCCTTGAAGAAGGCCTCTTTGGATTGAGGTGTTCTGTTTGCTGCTTTGATTTGATGGTCTAGCTCTTCCCGTAGATTTGGAAAGTTCTCGTCAACTGTTTGTTTGAATAGGCTCTCCATTCCCTTCTCTCTCTCTTCTTGTACTGGTATGCCTATTCTTATATTGCTCTTTCCGATGGAGTCAGATAGTTCTCATAGAGTTCTTTCATTTTTCTTTTTAATGCTCAAGTCTTTCTCTTCTTCCTTCTGTGTCATTTTTAGATTTCTGTCTTTAATATCACTAATTCTTTGCTCCATCTGGTCAGCTCTATTTCCTGTGCTTGCTAGTTCATTCTTGATCTCTCTTATTGAGCTCTTCATCTCCAGGATTTCTGTTCGCTTCTTTTTTAAAGTTTTAAACTTTTTGGTAAAGTACTCATTTTGTTTATTGATTTGTTTTCTGAGCTCATTAAATTGCCATTTTCTTTCTGAACTGCCTCCTTACCTTGGTTATTCATGGTATTTGATGGATTCCTTCTCCGTCTAGGCATCTATGTATGAGTGGCATTTCTCTAGTAGATTGATAAGAAGTCTTTCTATTGTTTTCCAGTAGGTGGCCCTGAATCATCAGTATTTTTAGTTGTTTTGCTCTTCTCTGGCTTTTCAGATCTCCACGGGTGGTGGGACATGGCCTGTGCTTCCTGGGAAGGTGGGTGCTTCCCCTGTGATCTGGCCGTCCCAGTCCCAGGGGACCAACCCTGTAGGGGAACTAGGGGGGTGATGTGGCTCCAAATCCATGAAACCCCAGTGCTGTGCCCTGCAGCCATATGCTGCCAGCAGTGTAGCTTTAGTGTGTGGTGGTTGGGTGATGTGGAGGAACCCGGCTGCCTCTTTTGTTGCTTTGCTCTCCTGTCAGTGACAACCATTGGACCTCTGCATTTTCTCCCCTGCGCCTCCACTCAACCCTGGGATTAGCCACAGAGTGTGCCTGTCACTCAGGGAAAAAGTGATTCTGTAGTACCAGCTCTTGGGTTTGCATATAATGTGCTCTGCAACCCAACACAAAGGGTGGAGGGAGGTGAGCTCTGGGAGGTTAAAGGGCTGCCAGGCTCTGTGGCCTTGTTTCTCTGTCTGGTATGCCGATTGTCAGACAACCGAAGGAATACCTCTGTGCTTCGTCCCTGCCCAGGTCACTGGGCTCAGCCGCAGCTCTTACTGCCCACTCCTGCAGGAATGCTCTTTAAATCTCTTTGCTTCTCCCAGTTGAAGGGAATGCCAGCCACAATCTGATGCCTCCCCTTTCCAGGCTGAGCCCTGCAGTGAGCTCCCAGCTCCCCAGTCTCAGCTTTTTTCCTTTCTAGCCTTCCTGGTTTGCTCCCACTTGCCCACCTTTAGATATTTCAATGTGAGGATTTCTCAGACATGTTTGTGCATTGAGCAGGGAGCCCTTTATTGAATTATAGCTGTTCAAATTGTTGAAACTTCAAGGGGAGAGATGAAAGGGGATCTCTCACAGCACCATTCCTCTGATGTTACCCAGTACAATATTTTTTATATTGATTTGAGTTGAAAATATATTTAAATTAATTTGTTTCTGTTTACTTTTTAAATTTTGGCTACTAGAAAATTTAAAATTATATATGTGGCTGGCATTTGTGGCTCACATATTTCTATTGGACAGTGCTGTTCTAAGCAGTCAGCAAACTTTTTCTATAAAGGATCACGTAGTATTTTAGGCTTTGTAGGCCACAGAGGGTCTGTTGCATATTCTTGTTTTTTTGTTGTCTTTTTACAGTCTCTTAAAAATAAAAACCATTCTTAGTTCACAGGCAATACAAAAACAGGCTATAGTCCAGATTCAGCCCATGGGCTATAGTTTGCCAGACCCTAACTTCAGCAGACCAGCTAGCGTGAGGCCTTTCCTTTAATATACTGAGGAATGAACATAAAGCTTTAAAATTATTAGCATTTGGGAAGTCAGTATCTTGCTTTCCTATAGAAAATACTATTTTTTAATTTTCTTAAACATTATAAATTGTTCTTCAAAATTGAATGATGTTGAACTTTTCTTTCTCTCTTAGTCATCTGTGTATTTTAAGCATTCTTATGAAGACTGGCTGGAAAACAATGGATTGAGCATCTCCCCTTTTCACATAAGATGGCAAACTTCTGTTTTCAATCGTGCCTTTTACAGTTGGGGACGGCGGAAAGCAAGGATGCTTTATCAATGGTATGCTTCATTTTCTTTTTTTTGTTTGTTTAAATTAGCCATTGTGATCATGAGAAATACTTGTTAACTGAACTGTTTCCATCATTTTCCAGACTACTGAGTTTTAAAATGTTGACAGTGTAAAAACGTTCTCATTTTGTATTAACTTATGGGATTGCATCATTGTGCTTTTGCATACATTAAAAATCAAGGTTCTATATCTTTTTTAATCCTCACCTGAGAATATGTTTTTATTGATTTTTAGAGAGAGAAGAAGGGAGAGATAGAGAGAGAAACATCAGTCAGTTGCCTGCCATGTGCACCCCAACTGGAAATCGAACCCACAACCTTTTGGTGCTTGGGATGACGCTCCAAGCAACTGAGCCACCCAGCCAGAGCAAGGTTCTATATCTTGATCTGCGTGGTAGATACATGGGTGCATATCTATAAAAACTCAGTGAGCTGTACACTTCAGACTTGTGCGCTTTATTCTGTACACTGTACACTAATAGAAAAGCAAAAAAACATGGAACATTTTTCATCAGGAAAATAATCCTGGAGAATTCTCTCCCCCATCATCATACATAGGAACGTGGGTCCTAGGAATCATAGGACACCCAAAAGTCTGCAGGTTTCCCCTATACTTCTTTCGTGATACTCTTCCAGGGGAAGAATTTTTAAAATATTTAACAACCTGTAAGGCGTATGCACAAACCACGTGGGAAAATGACTAGCCAGATTGCATTGTTGGGGTCTTGGAGCCCTCTTGCAATGCCAGGCACACCCTTTTAGTTTAAAAAATAAAAATATCATGGAGTTTATGCTGTTCATGGTTAGGGGGCTTACGATGATCTCTGGGACACCCTAGAGACAGACAGGTTCTATAGTTGAGAGAATTTCTAATACGGGAGTTAGGAGGACTTTGTCTAAATTTCTTTTTGTTAAAAATTTAGCTCCAGGTGGCGTAGAGCTAAATGTAAATAGATCATCAAAAAGCAGTAAACACACCAGCAAATTAAAGCAAATAAAATAAAAAGCAGGAAATAATAAAGAGCAGAAATCAGTGAAATAGAAAATATATAGTAGGGAAAATCAGCAAAGCCAAAAGTTGGTTCTTTGAAAAGATTAATGAAATTGATAAACCTCTACCATGACTGATCAAGAAAGACAGATAACACACATAACTAAAGATCAGAATTGGGAAAGGGACCATTAATGAAGATTCTATAGACTTTTTTTTTAAATGAAACTATTTCGAATAATTATTTGCCTGTAAATTTGACAGTTCAGATGAAATGGACAAGTTCCTTGAAAAACAACTTATCAAAAAGTTAGAAAATGTAATAGATACAAGGGTAACTTCTAATTATTAAAACAGTAAAAGAAAAAACTATCATTAAATTTTACCATGTTAGCATAAGCTCATCACAAAATACAGCTAAAATAAGATGCAAATAATAGAATTGGTAGATAAAACAGAATGGATGTTTTATGTCAAAAGAACTTCCATAACTATATGAGAACAAGATCAAAACAGTGCTATGTAAATGAGCAAAAGACGAAACAAACTTCTTATTAGGAAGAATATTCAGCCTCTTCAGTTATGAGAGAAATGTAAGTTACTAGAATGGCTTAAAGACTGCAGCCTGCATTTTGGTTACAGATTGGAAGTTCGGGCGGAAAAAAGAGATAGAGCTATTGACAGTTTTACAGAATTCGAAGCCATGAAATGTGGCTGGTTGGTGAGGTTTTTAGTTCATGAATTGTGAGGAATTGTACATTTATGCAATTTTTTCCTCTTAAACAGGTTCAATTTTGGAATGGTGTTTGGCGTAATTGCCATGTTTAGCTCTTTTTTCCTCCTGGGGAAAACGTTGATGCAGACTTTGGCGCAAATGATGGCCGACTCGTCCACTTCCTATTCTTCCTCCTCTTCTTCCTCTTCCTCCTCCTCCTCCTCTTCCTCCTCCTCTTCTTCCTCCTCTTCCTCCTCCTCCTCCTCCTCCTCACTTCACAACGAACAGGTGCTACAAGTTGTGGTAAGTGCCTTCGTTTTGCTTTTAAGCCGCTGTTGAAACGTAGATAAAAGATGCTTCATTTGCATAGCGTAACTCCTAGCCATAATATGCAAATAAATGAAAAGTCTCGTGATCTCTCAGATTACCTGCCTAAACAGAAATATTAGTAAGAATATAGCAAGGAATTGCCGCAGTATGTAGTGGTAGCAGTAATAGTGATGACAGAACAAATGGACCATCATTAAGCCTGATTTATTACGTGTTGTCTTCTTGATATGTTAAATGATTGCTACTATAAAAGAATAAGCCTGATGAGTTAAGATCTCTAGAATGTATAAATAAATTTCATTTTTATCCTATGCAGTGTTCCCTTCCCCTTTCATCTTCATGGCTTTCATACTCTAACAGATAATACCCTTTTTTTTGGTCATTGCTTTATCAGTTTTTTGGTTTTTTTAAATTTATCTTTATTGTCGAAAGAATTACAGATACCCCCTTTTTTCCCCATTGACCCCTTCTACCGGCACCCACCCCCCACCCAAGGCCTTCACCACATTATTGTCTGTGTCCATGGGCTATGCATTTATGCATATAAAGCCTTCAATTAATCTCCCCCCTCCCACCGCCTTCCCTCAGAGATTTGTCAGTCTGTTCCATGCTTCTATGTCACTGGTTAACTAAAGGTATAAGACCATTTTGAATGATCACTGTGATTTTTTTTTTTTAATCCTCACGCAAGGAGTGAGGATATTTTTTCCATTGCTTTTTCAGAGAGAGTAGAAGGGAAACAGAGAGACAGAGAGACAGAGAGAAAGAAAAACATCGATGTGAGAGAGACACATTGATTGGTTGCCTCCTGCACAGGCTCCTACTGGGGCCGGGAATTGAGCCTGCAACTGAGGTACATGCCCTTGGCAGGAATCGAACCCAGGACCCTTCAGTCCATGGGCCAGTGCTCTAACCACTGGGCCAAACTGGTTAGGGCGTCACTAATTTTTTGATGTGAAGAATAATGTGCTGAGTTGTACTCCTTTGTGAGCTATTTATAATAATTCTCATTTTAAAGCACATAGATAGCCCTATACCTTTTCACTTCCTGTCTCTAGAGTTGGAAGGGTGCTTTATCATTGGCTAACTTTTATTTCAAATTTTTTCACTTAAAGTTTTCATTTTCATGAGTCATGGATGTTATGTTTTTAATCATATTCTTATTAATGGAATAGACGAAGAGTTTGTGACAGATTTTTTTTTAGCTCATCTCTTTGTGGCTTCTATAGGCTGGGTCACTATGGAAAAATTGAGAAGTCATTTGTAGAGAATGATAAAGAATCTCTCCTATGGTAATAGCTCTTTCTTAGAGTCTGAAAGGATTCTCCAGGTGAGGCCTCAGAAGAGATGATCTGTTTCTTCAGCAAACATTTAATGAGTGTATTCCACCTGTTGTCCCTGTGTTGAGTCCTGCTTATACAGGGAACGAAATCCAATCCTAACAGTCATGGAGGTTTTAGTCTAGAGGGAGAGTTGCTGTGACTGCGCTATAGTTTGACAGAGCATAAGGTGCTGTGGGAACAGAGAGAAGGCATTCTGAGATGTACCTGGCGCTGGGGAGAGTAGAGGAGCGCTTCAAGGGAAGGGTGAGGAGAAGCCACCTAGCCTGGGAAAGGAAGATGGCAATTGAGCATCCCAGTAACAGAGGGAGCCATATAACATGGAAAGGTTAAGGAAATAATAATAGTAATAATAAAACCTAATTGATATACAGTGCTTCCTGTGTGAGGGTTTTGTGCCCATTTTATTTTATTCTTGCGGCAAGCTGGAAGTAAGTTTCACAGATGAGAAAACCAAGGCACAGAGATGTTAAGTCACTTGCCTGTGGTCATAGCTGGTATATGGCCACCAGTGACCTCAGAGCCATCATGCTCTACTCCCTTAAGAAAGATCAATAATTCTTCAAGCAACCGTAAAGTAACTTTGACCTATGTCTAGGAGGTATGTGGTGGAAGGTATAAGGTACGGGAGATAAGATGGACGATACAGGTAGGGCTGAGTTATGAACAGGGCTATCCTAAGAAGGTTTGATTTTGCCTGAGATAACAAGTCGGTGCAAAATGAACCAAAGTAGGGTTATATGTGAGATGGGGAGACCATTTAAGAGGCAGTTGGAATGATTCATGTTAGAAGTGATAAAGATCTAAACTAAATTAGTGGTAAGAAGAATGAAGGGGGTAAATTCAAGGGATCTTTTGGAGTGGAGTTCTCAGGCCTTGGCCATTAATTGAGTGTGAGGCTGGAGGAAGAGTTTAGGATAACTCTCAGACTATTCAATTGGTTATTGTTTGCCAGGAAAGAATAGTAGAGAAAGAACAGATTTGGAGGAAATGTGATCAGTGTCCTTTCCACCTACTAGGATTAGAATGGCAAATTTATTTCTTCTTTTGGCTTCTCAGTTTATTCATAGAGCTCACAAAAATACTGACTTTATTAGGAGAGTCATACTTTGGAACCATCAAGAAGTCAGCTTCCCTCTGTAGTCCACTGTGCATATTTGTGTATATTTAAGAATGTTATTATCTCCTGACTTTGATATGAGCTCTGGTAGCTTAGAGAACATACTTTCTGTTTACTCTATCATTCCCTACAGTCTCGTTCAGTATTAATTCCCCAAAACCTGGCACTCCGTTGTTGAGAGATCAGTATTCTGGTACATCTAATACCCTGTGTGATCATGGCCAAGACAGATGGGCAGTCGGGTACTGTTGCCAGAAAATAAGACCTGCCATCTGTTGGTATAGTCACATGCTCAGATCCTTACTTTATCTCATTATTACATCTATAAAATAATAAAAAGAAAGAACCAATGTCCTGTTGCAATGACTTTCAAACTTTTTATCTCATGGCACACATAAACTATTTACTGAAATTCCGTGGCACACCAAATAATAGATTTTTTGCCAGTCTGACCAAAAAAATAGGTATAATTATGATTGATTTACCAAAATAGTAATGATAATAATTATCTACCCCTTTTGCTCCAAAGTAACTTTTTAAAAAATCAGGTGCCTATATTTGTATATAAGTATTTCTGATACCAAGAATTAACCAGTCAAATGCAAGATTATTATGTGATGTGACCAATAAGATATAACTCTATTATATGACCTATATATTTATGGTTCAAGGCAGGCATTCACACCAGGCGGCTATTGTGTTGGCTGTTGTAATTTTTTATTTGACAATCTAAGGCAGGGTTTGGGAACCTTTATTTCTGCCAAAAGCCATTTGGATATTTATAACATCATTCACCAGCCATACAAAACTATCAGCTTAATTGACACAGAATTATTAAACATTGGATTATTTTATAACAAATAAATTTTTTTAAATTAACTGTATAAAAAGCTCCTAGATTTATTGAATTTTGAGTCTGCCTCCGATTGCCTTGGCAGGGCTAGACCAAATGATTTCTTGGCCATATACGGCCTGCGGGCTGGATGTTCCCCTCCCCTGATCTAAGGGAACAGAGGTCAGTGCCCCTGACTAAATACTCAGGTATTGCATATTTTTAAAAATTTTGTAGCAGTAGTTGAAAATTGCTGTCCTATTGGATCAAGTCTACTAATTGATTTAACATAAAGGTAACCAGGAGACTTTGTGATATAGAGGGAATATATATGAGAATTAAATCTTAAGTACATAAATTTAGAGAGGGGTCAGAGAAAAGGAAACTACTAATCTGAATAGAAAGACACCTAACAACATGGCAGCAGAGCCAGGTATGTAGAAAAACATACACCGATATTCTTGAAAAGAGGCGCTTAGTAGGGCCTGGGTAAAGAGAACTTTACGTAATGAGCATCATAAAAGTGTCCTAAATATAGAAAAAATAGTATGAATTGAGCTCTTTTTCCTAACATTTATTATTATGAAGAATTGAAAATAAACACAATATGTAACTTACAAATGGTTAAATTATGAGATTGTCATTCAATGAAATATTATGTATAGGTTAAAAGTGATAATTATGAAAACTAGGGAAAAGACCCTTGGAATTACTTATGAATTTAGAAAGCCATCTAAGCGGCATGGTTTGAATCTCCTCTTCAGTTACGAAAGGGGGCTTAAAAGTGAAATTCCTCTGCTGTGCCCAAAGATATATTCCAGTTGAATTAAAATTAAAACATGAACTCATAAAAGACCTAGAAAAGAAAGAACAGGTTTCTGTTTATATGAACACAGAATGAGGGAAACATAAGCATAAAACTAATGGCAGAAACCATGAATATTGATAGATTTGATTACATAAAATTTTTATATATCAAACAACTAAAAGAAAAAAAAAATTAAAGGCAAAAAACATGTAAGTACATCTGTGATGTATTACAGAGTACTGATAATTGATATTTGAAGTGATCTTATAGATGAATAAGAAAAATATGGACACTCTAGGAGAAAAAATGGACAAGTCATGAGTAGGCTACTCTCAAAAGACCTCTCGGTGGTCAAAAGTAGGGAGAAAGCTCAGCTTTAATAATGATCAAAGAAATATACATCAAACAATGGGATGCTTTTTATTTCTTTCAAATTGCAGATTTGAATAAAATGAGCGTGCCCAAGGTTATGGAAAGGTCTGCTATTAGAGAGCAGTTTGATTTGTATGAAAGTCCTTTAAATTTTGTGTAATAGCATTTGTTATCCTCTCTGTGAGGCATAATTTCAAACATTGGACAAGGATTTTTTCATGTAATCCTTAAAATTACCCTTTTATGTAAATGTGGTTATTTCCATTTTAATAATGAGGAAATTGAAGTGTTAGGGCAATAATCGAACTTCCTCCAGATCACTTACCTAGTTAGTGATGGAGTTAGAATGTCTATCCCAAGAGGTATTTCTCTGGAGCCTGGACCAACCATGCCTGTATATTTTACCCTGCCAATATTTGGGTATATGTGTCCAAATATGTTTATTATAGTACTTATAAGAGCAGAAACTTTTAAAACAGTTAAATGCCTAACAATCTATTCCATAGAATACAATGCAGCTATTAAAAACATGTTGAATCAGAAAATGCTCATGGGAAAATGTTTGTGAAACTACTAAATGAAAGGGTCAGATTTCAAAACTATATTTATAATAAAAGCACAATTTTTTAAAATGTGCAATGAAAAGATGGGAAGGACAGGCATTAAAACATTGAGAATGGTTTTGTGTGTGTGTGTTGGGAGCAAAATTATAGGCTTCTATTTATCTTTGAGTTTTCAAGTTTTCCTGCCTTAAATGTATTTTATATTTAATTTAAAACAATAATTAATAACAGAAAGAAGTAAGTTCCTCCAGAAGGATACCGTCAGGGTCCCAACTCCTGGACTGTGAGAAATAGATGCTCAGTATAGTACTGATGCCTGGTATGCTCCACTTAGCCTAATTTATAGAATCTCTCCGTAACCAGTGATTATTTATCTTAGGAGCAGATTCTTGGGTATCTAAAAATAAGTTACCATGCAGCCCTTAAAAGGCAAACTTCCCTTGCGTATGCAATGATGTATATATGCACAACATCTTAGGAGGACATGATTGTAAGACAGCTCTTGATTCTTAACAGATCCTTAATGTGTATGTATGTTCCAGATGCCTTACCTTCTGCATTAAATTTCAATTTTAATATAATATTTATGTGTCACTTTGCTACTACCAATGTACTGGACAAACTGATGGAATCAAAGAAATGGAGGGCTTAGTGCTTCCATACCAAGAAGGCGCTTTATTACACTGCCTTTAATTAACAACTCATATAACTTGAGAATACTAAAAGGAAATCCATTGATGGGGGATGGGGATATCCTATATTACTCACATAAGTACTTGGAACCCTGCAATAACAATATAGAGGAAGAACTAGGGATTATAACAAGAATTCCCAAATCAGGCTTCCAGCTGACCCTTCAGTGTCACTTCACATTCCTTGGCCCCTGGCTCTTTGCCAGGCTCTCTAATTCTTTCCCGTGATGGAGACTACAGGAAACTAAAATTTCAACTTTTAACCTGGTGTTTCCTGTTCTCTTTAGATTGGTGTTTTGCTTATAGTTCAAAAGCTGCCTAGTTCAAAAACCTAGTGTTTTTACTTTTATTATGATAGAAATGAAAAAGTGAACCATTGATATTCACATTACTTTTAGTTTATAGAGCTTTCAGCTTGGAAGTTTAAGCTTTAATACAAAGTAAGCATCATAGTTTCTTGGTGCCCAAGTGTGTATTTATCATTGTGTCTGTGAACAGGTTCCTGGTATAAATTTACCCGTCAACCAGCTGACCTATTTCTTCGCTGCAGTCCTCATTAGTGGCGTCGTACATGAAATTGGACACGGGATAGCAGCTATTAGGTAATGATATTTACCTTTTTCTTTCTACTACATGCTAAGAAGCTTTCATTTAGGAGGCTTTATTACTAAAATCTGCTACATTTGATATTTTTCTTTCTGTGCATATTACCCAGTGTATATCCATGATTATTATTTTGAGGTACCTTCTGTTTTGCAGAGGAGATTTATATATTGATGAATATGCTCAGTCAACCATGTGCATATCTATAATCTGGGTCTTTCTATCCTTTGCCCTCTGCCAGCATGGTTATATCCTCATGGTGCTTCAAGAATTTCATCCTTAGTACTTTCTTTGGCTTATCAGCTGAAATACTTTCCTACTTCAACTCATGGTCTCCGCTAGTTAGAGCAAGTATAGTGGTACCTCAGTTTTCGAATGTAATCCGTTCCGGAAGCCCATTCGCATTCTGAAACATTCGGAAGCCGAGGGATCCACAGCCGACAGCTGGGCCTCAGGATCTTGCCCTCAGCGGGAGCCGCGGGGCACGTTCGACTTCCGAGGCGGGTTCGAAAACAGGAGCATTTCCTTCCGGGTTTACAACGTTCATAACCTGAAATGTTCATCCACGGAGACGTTCAGAAACCAAGGTACCACTGTACACTGAAAGCTCTGGGTTTGTTAACAAATGTCATAGCCTATCTAGACACCCAAGTAGAAGAAGATAAGGGAGGATGAGTCCTGGGACTTGCTTCGAGTATCATGCCCTCTTTTTGTCATGACTACCCAAATGTATTATAATTATAGCTGACTATTTTAAAGGTTCCTAAACCTATAAGATCATGATGAGGGAGAAGGTGAGTCACAGCTCCCCCTCACCGCTGATAATTACTGCCATAAGGAACGCACATGTTGATGACTGTGTTTTATCCTTTCAGTGTGTGGGCCCAACAAGAGTCTATAGACTGACAGTAAACCATTATCTTGGCAGAGCACATACTGTTATACAGGTGTGCCATGTAGTGATTTAAGTGGGTGGCTGCTTTTATTTTTTTTTATCTCTTTCACCTTTGCTTCCACATTTTTAGCATGCAGCCCTTAGGGTTTTACATATAAAAGCATTATTATTAACAGTTTAATAATTCACAGTATAATGTGGGTAATTTTTTTTATAAAATCACAACTGCCAAGATAAAGTGAATTTTACAGTCCTCATATATTTAGTACTAAGCGATAGCACAACATATTTAGATAGTGCTTTTTTTTTAGAGTATTCAGTTTTATGAGGCTATTAAGTGTAATTCCATTTTTAGAGAATGAATTGATAAGTAGTTCTCCTAAGGGAAGGCTGAGCATTATGTATTTTAATTGTAATTAGTTTAACATTAATTCAACAGGAATAAACTTAGATAAATCTCTACCTTCATTTATAATAGCTAAGAAAATATAAATATTTAGATAATTTGCTTGAATTATATTTTCTACTGTGTCCTCAGAAAATAATTCAGAGTAAACTATAAACATGCTTTTTAGTTTCTCTTAGAAATATTAAATTTTTCTTTATATATGTGACTAAATTCAAGTTATTTAGCATACTGGTTTCTAAAAATTTTGAAGTTGTAAGTCTATTTCAGAGTGCTCTATTTTATAAAATGTAATTTCACAGATGACTAAATCTGTACATTATTGTAAATACATATAGATTATATCATATATGTAGGTATAACTTTTTGACTGTCCAGAGAGACTTGTTTTTCAAGTAAGAATGTGAAGTACAGTGGGAAGTTTTAAGATTACATACATTATTAATTTGACAAATGTAATACTAGTAGTAAATTTCTTTTTCTTATGTGCTTTCTTAGGGAACAAGTTCGATTTAATGGCTTTGGGATTTTTCTCTTCATTATTTATCCTGGAGCATTTGTTGATCTGTTCACCACTCATTTGCAACTTATATCACCAGTCCAGCAGCTAAGGATATTTTGTGCAGGTAACAGACTTAAATTTTTTTATTCATCTATGTGTTGTTAGTGGTTTTATGGAAAGTACATCACAAATGAAAGCATCTCATCTTTTGGTTGATAAATTCAGTTTATAAGAATCTCAGTCAAAAATAGTAGAGCAAAATAACTTATATTCCAGTTTCTTCATTAAAAACAACTAAAACCAACATAATTTTAAAAAGACAAAGTACAATGAGCAGAACATACCATGTGAATAGAAAATATAACTAAAGCATTAAGTGAGACAGAGGAACACTTAATAATCATGGAGTATAATCCACAATGAAAATGTAATTGCTGTGAATCTTACTGTAGCAAGTAACAAACCATCAAAACAAAAATGGAGACAGCACAAAGGAAAAAGGTGTAATAAAAGAGACTCATATCTTTTGACACATGGCACATAGGTATGAAAAAGTCAGATCATCGAAGCTGTTAATAAGAAAAAAACATGTCAAACTCTGTACCACAATTTATTTCCGAGTACTCGTGAAACATAAAATTGTCCAATTTCGTTCAAAACCAGAATTGCAGCTTATTTAAAAATAGTAATGAAATAATGTGTAAAGTTTTGCTAAAAGGAAAATTCACTGCCTTAAGTAGTTATTATGAAATAAGTGAAAGTAAATCAGTTAAGCATTCAACTGAAGAAGTGAGAAAAAAACTATAAAGCAGTTAAGAAATGATGTAATTTGTAAGAATATAGGCAGAAAATATTAAATTGGAAAAAAGAAAAATACCAACTGTTAAGTCCAAGAGTTAGTTCTTTGAAGAAAAAAAGATTAAACAGTGGGAGAAAGCTTCTATAGACAGAGTTAGCAGTCAGATTGGGGAATTACAACGGATAGAAAGTTAAAACAATTATTAAAATGTTCTTTGTTCATCCCTGCAAAACATTTTCAAAATCCTGGATGATTATAAAAAAACAATAAGTAGCCTAAATAAACCCCAGAGGAGATAGAAAAATATATACACGTGGGCTAATTACAATGGGAGAAATTAAGAAAGTTGAGGAAGAATGCCTCTGAAAGTTTCATAGGTGGAATTCTTTCAAATCTTGCAGGGAAATATTTTTCTTTTTAATTCCAATTTAATATAAACTTTCCGGATCGCTTAGAGAAGGAAACTTAAGATTTTTTAAAAAGCCCAGTATCATACAAATACATCGTTTAAAGCACCAGAAAACTCTACAGTTACATGGTATATCTAAGCAAAGCAAGGATAGTTCAACATTAGGTAGTCTTTTTTAACCATTAGGGGGGAAAAGTCCTCATCTCAGCAGATACTGAAACAGATACTGAATAAAATTCAACATCTATTAATGGCTAAAAAACAAAAATCTTTGGTAAAAGTAGAAATAGCTGGGTACTTCCTAATGATATAACACTTAGAAGCATTCCTATTAAAGGACAAGACAAGCAATCCCACTGTCAATTATCACTGATACTATTACATGGTCTGTAAATGTGGGTCAGTGCAATTAAGAGGGAAAAAAGAAGTGTATAAATTTTAGAAAAGCCTCCCCCACCCCAATACTGTTATACACCTAAGGAGGGAGGTGGATAAAATCAGTGGAAATGAAATATAGAAAAATTCGGTAAAGAACCCGGTTACTGAATTAATATTAAAAAAATCTATCGCCGGACGAGGGGGGAGGGGGCGGGAATGGGTAGCGCTTGAAAGTACGTGGGTATGAGCGTGGGAATGAGCGTGGATACGCATGCGCCGGGTGCCAGGGTGTCAAGAAGCGCATGCGCTCGGTGCCAGGATACCCAGAATCCCCCGCATCTAACGCCTCTAGTACTTCAACTGCCTGCGCGCGCATACGCGCGCCCCCGCGGTTCTGCCTTCGCGCCTTTCTCGGGAGCTGGAGCTCAAGCCTTCGCCTGGAGCTTGCGCTCTTTCTCTCAGCCTCCTTTTCGCGATTTTCCGGCACTCCCGCGCTGCCTAGTAGCGAAAGCCTCTTTCGAGCTCTCAGCTATGGCTTCAAACAACATTATTTACATCACCACGGAAAACTCGGAGGTGGCTACCGAGTTTGTGGAACTGCACCAGGTCCATCTAGAGACTTTCACTGTGGAGACTATCCCTTTGGAGAACATTGCTCTGGAGAATATCGCGGTGGAGACTATCGCGGTAGAGAATATTGCTGTGGAGAATCTCGCCTTGGAGACTTTCGCGGTGGAGAATCTCGCTGTGGAAAACATCGCTTTGGAGGGGATCGCGGTGGAGAATCTCGCTTTGGAGAATATCGATTTGGAGAGTATCGCTGTGGAGAATATCGATTTGGAGAGTCTCACTGTGGAGAGTATCGATTTGGAGAATCTCAATGTGGAGAGTCTCGATTTGGAGAGTATCGCAGTGGAGAATCTCGAGGTGGACAATATCGATTTGGAGAGTATCTCTGTGGAGAACATCGCGGTGGAGAATATCGCTGTGGAGAATGTCGCTGTGGAGAATGTCGCTGTGGAGAATGTCACGGTAGAGACTATCCCCGTGGAGCCCATGGCAATGGAAACCATTGCATACGAAGATATCAGCGGCAATTGGGTCCACGGTGGCCACCACACCCCGCCTCTGATTGCGCTGCAGCCGCTCATGATTAACTCGAATGAAGGGGACCACGACCAGGAAATGATTATGGTGCAGACCCAGGAAGAAGTGGTGGGCTACTGCGAGTCAGACAGTCTACAAGATAACTTTCAGGAGCAGCAGGTGGGGGTCCCAGTCGAAGAAGACGTCAGCTTCCAGCAGACTCTGGCTTCCCTGTCAGCCTCCTCGTCGTCATCGACCAAGAAGCGCAAAAAGCCCAGCAGCACTAAGAAAAGCGCCACCAGCAATGTTAAGAAAAGCGCCACCAGCAGCGGTAAGAAAAGCGCCACCAGCAGCAGCGGTAAGAAAAGCGCCACCAGCAGCGGTAAGAAAAGCGCCCCCAGCAATGTTAAGAAAAGCGCCCCCAGCAACGATAAGAAAAGCGCCCCCAGCAACGGTAAGAAAAGCGCCCCCAGCAACGGTAAGAAAAGCGCCCCCAGCAATGGTAAGAAAAGCGCCCCCAGCAACGGTAAGAAAAGCGCCCCCAGCAACGGTAAGAAAAGCGCCCCCAGCAACGGTAAGAAAAGCGCCCCCAGCAACGGTAAGAAAAGCGCCCCCAGCAACGGTAAGAAAAGCGCCCCCAGCAACGGTAAGAAAAGCGCCCCCAGCAACGGTAAGAAAAGCGCCCCCAGCAACGGTAAGAAAAGCGCCCCCAGCAACGGTAAGAAAAGCGCCCCCAGCAACGGTAAGAAAAGCGCCCCCAGCAACGGTAAGAAAAGCGCCCCCAGCAACGGTAAGAAAAGCGCCCCCAGCAACGGTAAGAAAAGCGCCCCCAGCAACGGTAAGAAAAGCGCCCCCAGCAACGGTAAGAAAAGCGCCCCCAGCAATGGTAAGAAAAGCGCCCCCAGCAACGGTAAGAAAAGCGCCCCCAGCAACGGTAAGAAAAGCGCCAGCAGCAGCGCGGCGGGGGAGGCGGAGGGAGGCAGCGGCTCTGAGGGAGGCGGTCGAAAGTGGGAGCAAAAGCAGGTGCAGGTCAAAACCCTAGAGGGTGAGTTCTCCGTCACCATGTGGGCCCCAGTCAGTGAAAGATACCAGGAGACTGAGGGACAGACTGTGGTGACCTCACCTCCTGATTATTCAGAGTACATGACGGGAAAGAAACTTCCTCCTGAAGGAATACCTGGCATTGACCTATCAGATCCCAAACAGCTGGCAGAATTTACTAAAACGAAGTCCAAAAAACCCAAAGATGATATTCCAAGAACTGTAGCTTGCCTTCAGCCAGGCTGCGGAAAGATGTTCCGGGATACCGCTGCTATGAGAAAGCATCTGCACACCCACGGTCCTAGAGGCCACGTATGTGCAGAATGTGGCAAAGGTTTTGTTGAGAGCTCAAAATTAAAACGGCATCAATTGGTGCATTCTGGAGAGAAGCCCTTTCAGTGCACATTTGAAGGCTGCGGAAAATGCTTTTCCCTAGATTTCAATTTGCGTACACATGTGCGAATCCATACAGGTGACAGGCCTTATGCCTGCCCCTTTGAGGGTTGTGATAAGAAGTTTGCTCAGTCAACTAACCTGAAATCTCATATCCTAACCCATGCTAAGAACAAAGATAGCCAGTGAAAAGGAGAAAAGACCCTTTTTTGATTCCTACATATCAAAGGGTCATGTTTTGACAGATTAGTTAAAGGAAAAAAGAGGTTAAAAAAAGTTTTAAAAAGGTTAAAAATATATATAAGATTACACTGTTAAGATGTCATGTTTTGATAGAGTAGTAAAAGTAAAAGGTAAAAAATTAAAAGTGAAAAAAGGTTGAAATATATATGGTTACATTACGATGCTTTATTTTGTTCTGTAATATCATTTGAAAACATGTTTTTGTAAAGTTTGATCCCAACAGGATAATTCATCAAAAGACTTTTTATACAACTGTGCTAAAAATGGGACTTTTCATATTCAAGTTTACCTTTTTACAAATTTTAAAAGTTCTGTATTTTCCAAATGTTCATGTTTATGCTTTTAAGAATATGTTTAATAATTCTATGTGTGGTTTTTTTGGAGGTTGATAACTTTGCTCACTGTAGATTTTGTTTAAGAAAATGAACAGTCACATGCATACGTATTTTCCTGTTTAAAAAAGGGTTATATAGGTTTTGTTTGCTATCTTAAAATTTTGGTTGTGTTCTTTTATAGTAACACATTGTGTATAACTATTTTAGCTGCATTGAATGATGTATATGTAATATTGAATATTAGATGTGATTAGTAATATTAGTCAATTTAAACCTATTTTAGTCAATTTAAACCTATTTTAGTCAATTTAAACCTATTTTAGTCATTTAATTTTTCTCTAATACTGCCAAGTAGTGTTACTTAGTGTAATTTCTTTGTCTCTTCAGTTAGAAAGTGATGCTCAATTGTAGTTGTATTGTTTATATAATGACTTTTTTTAACACTTGATATGTACACCTTCTGTAATTGTATTAGAAAAGGCAAAAGTGAAACACCTGTTTTAAAGAAAGAAAAAGACTTGCCTATATAAATACCATAGCTAGAAAATAGGGAGGATGCTACTGGCATCCAGGGAGTAGAAGCCAAGGATGCTGCTAAACATCCTACAATGCATAAGGAATTATCTACCCCAAAATGCCACAATAGTAAGAAACCCTGCTTTAGAGAAAGTAAAAGTTGTAATGGATTTCTTTGATGTACTTATAAACATTAATGTACAAGACGTTGTTTAAATAAAGAAAATATGTTTTCAACCATCCGTGTTGCTTCTTAGCCATTATGGGCAAATTGGGAATCTAGTGGGGTGGTCTGGTACAAGTTGCATCCCTGTCAAAAGAGAGGAGGTTGCCCAAATAATCAAGGAATCAGTGCTGCTGTGTGTCTCCCTGACTGTTGTTTGGAGGGAGAGGTAATGAAGGTGCAAGCATCTAGGTAATCCTGGTGGATTGTTTCATCCTGACTTGGGGGGCGGGGGCTAATATAGCACATGGTAATAGTGACAGATCTAATCAGTGGGGATGGAGTATTTTGTGGAATTGTGTTGGGACTAGCAACTTGGTGGGTGGTGGGGTTATAGCTGTATTCCAAAATTAGTATCATTAGAGTAAATTTCAGTGGGTCAAAGAATTAGTGTTTTTGTTTTGCTTTGTTTTAATTTTGTTTTTTAAATGAAACTAAGAAAGCACAGGTATCTTCTATAATCTTCAACTGGGAAAGACTTAATACAAAAGAGCAATTTGACCACACCAAAATTTAAAATGTCTGCATAGCAGTACTATAAACCAAGCCAAACAATAACCTGGAGGAAAAAATTAAAATACCTCTTACAAAAGACCAAATTCCTCAATATATACAGTTCAAATAATAATATATACAAATTAGTAAAACAAAACAAAAAGCAATCCAGTCAAAAAATGTAAACAGGGAATGGATAGGAATAGTTCTCAGACAAAAGAAATAGAAATAGTTTTTTAATAGACATGAAAATTTTACAGGCTCACTCATAATTTAAGAAATAGAAATTAGAACAAAGAAATTTTATTTTTCACCTAACAGACGGCAAAGTCTGAAATTATGATAGCATCCAGTGTTGTTTTGAAGGTGGGGAAACATGTCAGTTATGAGAACATAAATTAATGCAAACTCATTGAAGGTCAATTTTTTTTAAATATATCTTTATTGATTTCAGAGAGAGGAAGGGAGAGGGAGAGAGAGAGATAGAAGCATCAGTGATGAGAGAGTCATTGATCGGCTGCCTCCTGCACACCCCAACTGGGGATCAAGCCTGGAACCCGGGCATGAGCCCTGATCGGGAATCGAACCCCAATCACCTGGATCCTAGGTCGATGCTCAACCGCTGAGCCACGCCGGGCCCTGTGAAGGTCAATTTTAATGTACATATTTTTTGACCCAACAATTTCATTTCTGTGTAATTTTCTATACCCTCACAGATGCATGTTTAATTAGATGGATAACTATGAGCAAAGCTGTTGAAGCATTGTATGAAAAAGTTAAAACGGCCTAAGTGATCATTAGTAAGGAACCTTCTAAGTCAATATGTTAAAAAAAATGATTTACTCTGTAATGGAGATAAGAAGTTGAATAGCTATGAATGTGCACATAAGGGAAAAGTCCAAAATATATAAAAAGCAAAATATGGTTTCTGATAATTTGATACCTTTGATGTTTTTAAAAGAACTGTGTATAGAACAGAAAAGACTGTTTACCCATGTGTCCTGGACTAGACTTGCTCTGGATATTTTTGGAATTTTAACATCTTAAAACACTCAAAAAAAGGTGGGGGACATCTTACAATGTTAATATGGTATGTGAAACATGTATTAGCTAGGTATCTGGCTGTTGTAATAGCTAAAAATAGCAGGCCTAAACTCTTATAAAACATTCCAAATGTAAGTAGCTCAGCACTGATATGATAATTCTATGTTTTGGAGGACTCAGGCCTTTTGTGTCTTTTTAACTTACAACACTCAAAAAAAGGGGGGGGGACATCTTACAATGTGAATATGGTATATGGGGAACATGTATTAGCTAAGTATCTGGCTGCTATAATAGCTAAAAATAACAGGCTTAAACTCTCCAAATGTAAATAAATCAATACTGATGATGATTCTAGTGATTTGAGGGACTCAGGCCTTTTCTGTCTTGTTAGCTCTACTATCCCCAACATGCAGCTTCTATGCTATGGATTTAGGTTTAGCTCCCTCATATAGCTACATTCCAGCCAGTAGGACAGGGATATTCCCATCATTTCTACTCACATCCTCTTTTTCAAAACAGTCCTATGACCACACTCAGCTTGCTGAGAGCCTGGGAAATGTCTTTAGGTTACATTTCTATCATTATAGAATGTTGGTTCTCAACCACTGATGCTATCACTCTCCTGGGAATGTTTGGAATGTGTGGGGTGGGAGGTACTCTTTGGTTGTCTGACAGGAGAGTAGTAATGGTATTTAATGGATGGAGCCAGGAATGCTAAATATCCTGTAACGTAAAGGATAGACTTGCACAACTAAGAATCACACTGCTCAGAGCAGTAGTAGTGCCCTGACCCTGCACTACTGCATATAGGTATGGAGGGAGGGCTTATATAGCAGCGTGCTAGTGTATGTTCAACACTTGGCTCTGAAGCAGTGGGTGGGGAGCTCTGATGAGTAGCATTTGCTGGTTTCTATATCATAAATATGTGGTCCCACCATGGCCTATTTCAAGGTGCCAACCCAAAGTCCTTAAAGCAGGAATTAGGAAGGGATTCACACAGTTGGCTGTGGCAAGCTGGTAGGAGCAGGCTCCAGGACATTACTGGGTTCATCTAACCATCTCTGTTATATATATGGTGGAGGTGGTTATAGTCTGTGACATGATGTTAGATACATACTCTATTTGGCCCGCTAATAATATTCTCCATAATAGTTTAATTCTTAAAACAGTCTTTTTCCAATACCATTTGGATTTCCATACTGCAGTTCAGCAAGAATGTTTATTCCATTTTAGCTTTTATTTGAATAGTTCTGACATTCCTTTCGAAGATCACAGGTATGTTTACATTAATAATGTATACATTTTCTGAAAAGAGGCAATAGTAAGTAGAAGATATTCATTCTATTTGTTATACATATACGTATATATATCAGGTATATATAATAGAATATAGATTTTATTGGTATTAAATCATATTAGCATGCAGTCTTCCTAATGTGGTATTAACATACTTTTTTAAAATTTTAATATGTGAAATGGAAGAGGTGTCTAACTGAACATCTGTCTGCTATACTAATAAGTAGATCTATGCCTCACAGCTTCTGGTTACTAATTTATCAGAATGCCCAGGAGTTATGAGGTCCAAATACCTATGTCGCTCCTGCCCCTGGTCCAGCTTATTTCTTTTTTCCCTTTTCAGGCATCTGGCATAATTTCGTCCTTGCGCTCCTGGGTATTTTAGCCCTTGTCCTCCTCCCTGTGATTCTTTTGCCCTTTTACTACACTGGAGTTGGGGTGCTTATCACTGAAGTTGCTGAGGTAAGTAGTGAATTACTTGGGCAGTTTTTCCACCAAATTTTGTGAGGTATCACTTAACGTTTTATGTCAGGAACTTTTATACAAGTTCTCCTCATAGAATGCTCCGTTTCTCCTGAAGAAATTATTGGCAATCCTTTCAAATCAAACAAGTAGTTTTGTGAAACACATTGTCTTTTTACAAATACCAAAAATTATTTCTGTTCTGAGTTACAAAGATAGTATAAAGATTTTTCTCCCTGTAATTTGTTGATAAAATATGTTATTTACCTTTACTGTTTATTTTTATAACTCTGCTTTTAAGTCAAATGTCTTTTGACATTTGAAACCTAGGCTAGCTGGCTAGCCAGAACATGTCCTGGGAGCTTGCTTAGGTCTTCAACTCTGTATTTCACCCCCTTAGTAACTGCTACTGAGATATAGCATCAAGTCTTCTATTCAGACTTGGGAAAGAGGAAAATTACCTTCCTGAGCAACTGGCTCACATATTCGTTGCGCTGACAGTATGCTCTGCTTATTTGGGATTGTGTCTAGATAAGGACTTTTCTTACAATTTTATTCACTGAGGATATAGGAAAATGAAGGCGTGCTGATGACTACTTTAACAAAAAAGTTTAATTAGCAGTGTACAAAAAACTTTTAATCTTACAGATGGCAAGTGGGTTTTTGTTTTTTCAGTTGCAAAAAATCCAAAATCTTGGTGAGTTAGGAAAAATACCTACAATTGTTGGGTTTTGTTTTAATTTTGTAGGATTCTACATCTTGGATTCAAAGCTGAATTATTTTATGTATATTCAAAATAATCTATTTAATTCAGTGTCTTTAACGATTATTTGCTCAGATTAATCATAGCTTGTTTTCGCACATTATCTGATTTGTTTTTGCCCTCTTCCCAAGGATTCACCTGCAGTTGGACCCAGAGGTCTTTTTGTGGGAGACCTTGTTACCCACCTACAAGATTGTCCCGTTACTAATGTACAAGATTGGAATGAATGTCTAGATACCATCGCCTATGAACCCCAAATTGGTTACTGCATAAGTGCATCAACTTTACAGCAGTTAAGCTTCCCTGTTAGAGGTGTGTATATTTCCCTCTGCATAATATAATGCTTCAGGCAGCAGTACTTGCCATTCACCAATCTTAGATTATGTCTATAGATTCATTTTGTTCTAATTTCTTTAAAACAAGTCAGAAAAGCAATAATAGGCCCAAACTAGTAAACATTCTTGGTGAATCGGGTACTAATATAGATATGTCTCCTTTATTATTTATTGTTATTGAACCTCTAATTTCATAGCATAATATTTGAGTTTTAGGACTCTAGAATCTAATTATTTCTGCATTAAAAAAACCAAAAACGTGTGCTCTCTGCATGGCGGCGGGCAGCTGCCACT